TCTCCTCCGAATCGAATCACCACCCAAAGCTTTGCACAGCCCTAGTTATGGTTAGAAAAGGACCCTTGAAAACATATTACTCCCCATGTTTGTCGATGAAGAGTTGGGTTACTAAGTTGCTATTCCTCTTCCTCATCAGTAGGTGAGCTCTGTGGAACATAAGCCAGATGAGTCTCATTTTGCTTATCCATAATAAATAGGATTGCTAACAAGTGCCAGGTTCCTGGATAAAACTCTGCCTTCAGTTTCACTGGGTTAAAAACCAGCCTTACTCATAAATGACAAACTAAATCTGGAGTCACGAAGGGCTGATAAATGTGAAATCTTGCAAGAGGTATTTTTGCCTGTTTCCACTTCACCTTTCTCTAAGGGAATACTGGTGCATATAGGTTGCTGTTACTCTTTAAGAGAGCAGTCACCCTTTTATCCAAGGTGTTTACACCTCTGATCACTTTTCCTAATGAAAAAGCATCTTCATTGCAAAGGGTAGCTGTATTCCATTTTTATAAACAAAAGTGCACCCTCCTGATTTACGTAATGCCTGGAGGACTGTTTGCCTGTCTTAGTTAAGAAGTAATTTATTTACAATTCCATTGAATACTGTTGTGGATCATCACTGTTTTGCAGTGACATCTTCTGGTACAGGTAACAAATCACTGTGGGCAGCCTTCTTGCTTTTTGCTTCTAATGAACAGGCTGGAGTTTTATTGTCCTCAGAATCCAGAGTGCAAACTGTGATAACGGACAGACTTAATGTTTAAAGTTGTAAAAAGCATTTTAAAAATTGAGCTGATAGATGATACACTGTGCTGTAGTACTATAGATCAGCTCAAATCATATCAAGAATGGCCCTAGATGAAACAGTGTAACTCTGAAGTTCATCACAGTAATACTTTAGCTGGCAAGCAGCTGTATGCCTGTATACCACTGAAACAAAGCAAATTAAAAGCTCTTGAAAAGGAGAGGGGAAGGGTATAATTTAAAGCACTTTATATGCATGTCTGCCCATACTGCTGAATTTCTGCCACCCATGGAATGTTGATTTAGTTTAAACACTTCAAGCCAGTGTCTCTGGGGTGGGAAGGAATAGCCACAAAAAAAGATGGATGACTATCCCAGATAGCTGTGGCTTGCAGGAAAAATATCAGGTGAAGTTCTGAAAGACCCCTCTACATGTTATAGGTATTGTGCAATTAACAGGTTAATTGCTCAATTACCTTGAAACCAGCTACACGTGCAAAGTGCCTATAATGCCACAAAAAGCTCCAACCAGTTATAAAGTTAGACCCCAAAAATGTGTACTAATTAGGGGTGCACTGGTAGAGATTTTTTGGGCCGATACCGATAGCCGATTTTTAAGGAGCCATATCACCCAATACTGATTTGATTCCAATATGCAGCCCCACAGCCTGGAGAGCGGCGTCGGGCTAATAA